ATGATGATGATGACGATGACGATAATGATGATGGTGATGCTGCTGCTGATGATGCTGCTGACGAAGCTGACGATGTTGATGATGGTGATGATGATGATGATGCTGATGATGATGATTATTGATTATTGTTCTGATGCTGATGATGGTGATGATTCCGATGATGGTGATGATGAGCTTGCAGCAGCGGCCCACTGGATCGGACGCCCCCCCCCCCCGGCTGAGGGACAGTTTTTCTCCGCCAGCTCCGAACGCGAACGGCGCACAGACCTGATTCGGAGCTTGTCTTCCTCTTCTTCTTCTTCTGTTTCGTCTTTTTCCTCTTCTTTTCCGTATTATTATGCGTCTTCTTGTTATTATTTGCCTAATTATTCTTATTCTTCTGTTTCTGATTCGTCCACTTATTCCGCTTCTTCTTCTTCTTCTTCTTCCGCTTCTTCCGTTGTTTCTTGGTATTAGTATTAGTATTCCGTTTCTTCTCATTGTTTTTTGTCGTTCCAGTCGTCCGCGAATTGAGACCTTCCAGGCTGAAGCCCGTGCTCGATCCTCGCCAGGTTATGCCTGCCAGCATACTTCAGCATTCCGCTGCACTCCTTCGCGAGAGTCTTGAGCTGCGCCCGCCCGAACGCCCCGCAGGATTCAAACATAGTAGAGCACCTCCGATGTCGCGTCTTACTTGTGGGCGCGGCTCTGACGAATGGCTTGGTGTGCAACATGAGATCCTTGTGGTTGCGGTGCCACGTGCGCGGACGCCTCCGTCTGCATCATCACCACGCAGTCCTCCGCGAGCCACTTCGCACTCTTGTTCTTCGGCACCCTCGAGCCGCAGTTCTCGCACACGCACGGCCTCACCTCCTCCTTCGTCTGGTGCTCCGTGTCCTTGACCAGCTTGAGCATGCCGATCTCCTGCTTGACTGGCTCCTTCTTCTTCTTCGGCTTCGACGCTGCTGCCATGAAAGTCGCTGCCTCTCTCCCTCAATTTGCCGCCGCGATCCCCTCCGCCCAGCGAACCCTCCTCACCTCCGCTTTCGAGACCTGCACCCTCTCTCTGATGCCCCCACGCGAGGTCGTCCACGAAGCTGTTGCCCATGAAATGGAAGAGGCCCACACCTGCGTTGATGGATCATCTCCGCACGGTTGCCGAATCTCGCCTTCTTGATGGCGACCAGAGGTCCACGTGCGACGGTGGCATCTTGCCAGCTTTTAGCTTCTGCGTGCCCCTCATCACGTAGCTCGAGTCCGCTATGTACGTGATTATTTGAAAACCCCGCGTTTCCCGCAGAGGCTCCCTCAGCGCGCACAGCTCGCCGCGGCTGCGGTTGACGCTCTGCCTCCAGCCAGGCAGCTTTCCGCGTCCTCCAGCGCGAATAAGGAGAGCTCCCTCACCCCGTTTAAGCACAACCCAAGCCCAAGCCACACGCTTCAGCCTTGGGTCCATTGGGCCCATCGTACAGACGCGTCGCCCGCAGTCCAGAGCCACTCCTCCTCCTCCGTGATGCCGGTCTCCGCGTCGACCTCGCCGACCGCCTCCCTGATCTCGTCGCCGTCCTCGGCTGGCTTCGACACCTCCGTCCAGCTCTTGGGGAGCAAGCCCCTCAGCCACAGGCACGGCTGCACCCGCACCGGACCCGGACCCGATAATTGGCGTTTACTAAACGGCCTTGGGCGTTTACTCACAGCCCTGCCCTGTTCGATTCCTTCTGTGGGCGCGTTTACTAAAGGGCTTCGCGTGTCGGGGTGATTCTGATGGGGGGGGGATTTTCTGCCCTCTACTATCCACCAAGTTGGCCGTCTTATTGCACTCCTCGAGCTCGTCGTTTCACTGGCACTCCCACGCACACTGTGTGCCAGCGGCTCCCCCTTGCCAGCCCGCACCTTGGGCACAGCGTGGTCTCCATCTGTCTCGACCTTGCAATCTGCCGCACGCAGCCTTGGCCAACCTGCTCCCGCCAGGATCGCGAGATTGGCCCCGTCATTCCTTTCCACCTCCTCCTCCTCCTCCTCCTCCTCTTCGTCGTCCTCCTCCTCTTCGTCGTCGTCGTCCTCCTCCTCCTCCTCCTCCTCCTGTTCGCGTCTTCCTTGGTCTTGATAGCCTCCGCTAGCTTCGGCCGTCGCCGTTCACTGCTTCCATGGTGTCAATCCAGGGGTGCTTCGCAGCGCGAGCATCGTGCTGTGCTCGGGATCGCTGGCGCCCACCTCCAGCCGCAAGAGTGCGGTGAGACGCCTTCCTCGAAGTCCTGGCGCGATGACCTTCGCGAGCCTCCCGCGCCACTTCGTCGCCACCGACGGCGCCATGCCGAACACCTTGCACGAGCATGCCGCCCTCGGTAACGCTCTTTTGTGCACCACATCTCGTTCTCCGCCCCGTGCACGCCTGCCGCATCTCAGCTTCTCATCGACCCCTCCACCTGCCGGTCCGCGTGCGCGACCCTCTCCGCGTGCTTAGCCTTGCCTCCAGCGATGCATCCTCTGTCTATGTCCAGGTCGCCTGCTTCTTGACCGTGATCGTGATCTGGCGGCGGTGCAGTTTCATCGCGATCTCTTGTGCCACTTCTGAGTCGTTGATGGTCACAGCCGCCCTGGGTGACACCGCGAGGTTCGCCTTCTTGACGCGCCCACGAAGTCCATTCTTGCCGCCCCAAGCTGTCGAATGACGGCCGCTCTCGACCGCTATACGCGTTCCCACATCATCCACCCACCATCTCACGTAGATCTGCGGGAATTTGTTCGTCGCCTTCTTCAGCACCGCGTACAGTACCACCCTGCCGAAATCGATGCCACGCCTAGCCCCTGCACATGTCGACTTCCCTGGGGCTAGCGGCTCCGCGTACGCGCCGTCCTCTCCCTGAGCAGCCTCGCACTCAGGTGGCCCAGCATTTCCAGGTGCAGCGTGCGGGCTGGCAGGCCTAACTTAGTCCCCTTCTCCAGGACGAGGAGGGGCTCCAGCGTGCCGTAGAACTCCGCCAGGTCCCAGAGGATCGTGGCCGAGGAGATCTTCTGCGGTGTCTACTCCAAGACCGCATCGGCAAACGACCGAACCAAGGCCTCCTTGGGCGCGCTGTTCCCTGCGACGGCGGCGTCCGACTTGCCCGCCATAGCGGTGGCCCACTGGTCAGTGTATTTGCTCCTGATCTTAGATCATAGCTTGACCACTTTCGGCAGCAGGATTATGGCACGGTCTTCTCTAGCTCCCTTCCGAAGTAGATGACCAGCGCGACCATCATCTGCAATGGCCACGTCCCCCCGTTCTAGACGTCCTCGATGAGCTGCCCGAGCTCGCTCTTCGCGCCCTTCGGCAACCATTTGAGGCTCAAGGCGCCGAACTGCTCCACTCAGTTCGCTTTGCCGTTGGCCATTGTCCTTGTGGCTCTCTTTAGGCAAGCGGCGGTGATCGTCGCCCAGTGCCCCTCTTTTGCGTCGTCTTTCGCGCCCCCCAGTTTCTCGACAACCGATTGCTTCCCCAACTTGCTCGCACACTTCTTGACCCACTGCCTGCCTTTGGCGTACATGTGTTCCACCGTGTCGCTAGCTGCTCTGCCGTCTGACCTGACCTCGTTGTCGCAGCGCCCCTTGTCCTTGGGCAGCTTGTGCCGCTTACCTGATCCGAGCGCCTCCTGCTCCTGAATCTAGCTGGTGTGCGCCCTCAGCGCCTCCTTGACCTCTATGTGCTTGCCCCGCCGCGCCGTAGCCAAGGCTGACACTCCCAGCGCCTGCAGCTGGCCCTGCGACATGCTGGACACGTCCTTCAGCGCCATTCCCCACTTCCGTTGCTACAGTGAAAAACCGCATAGCAAGGATGGGCAGCCTTCCCAATGGTACCCTTGCATCCTTGCCCCTTCGGCCCATCCTTGGCCATGCTCGTTGGCTGACCGCGCCCCGCTCGAGAAGCCTCGCGAAAAGGCCCTCCAAGGCCCATGCATCCTTACCGCGAATCCTTATGATACGCGTCGACTGTACTTCGCTGCGTCGCCGTCATCCTGCTGATGCCAGTCTTCACGGGCGAGCGTCCCAAGCTTCTGCACCTGCGTCGGACCTTCCCGCCCCCGCCTCCTCGACCTTGGCAGGCAGCCCTGCAGCTCCGCCAGCCAGGGTGCCAGCGTGCTCCACCACCTTACCATCGAGGCTGATTAGTGGGGCGACCTTGCCAAATTAAGGGTACCCTTATGTCCTGTGCCTCGCGACCCATGCTTCTACATTCATATGGCAATGCGGCCCTCGGAAGAGTCTTGTGTCCTCTCGCGTGTGCTCTTTAATCCACCCCGACTGTACCGACGCATCGCTGCCCGCGCTGACGTCGATGCCCAGCTTGACCTCGCCCTTCGGGAACTTCGGCGCGTCGCCTCTGCCCACGTCGCCCTGCTTCGCCTGCGCCTCGAGGTCCAGCGCAGTCGAGCCAAACTGCTCCACAGCGTGAGCCCGCCTGCCGCAGTTCAGGCCGAGGCCCTTCGAGCCCTCCTCGTCGAGGTGCGCGAGCATGCCCTCGGTGCAGGCCAGCGGCGCTGCCCATGCCTTCTTGCTCTGTCTCGTCGCACTCTCGTAGATGCCAGCTCCAACGGGAGCTCCCTACCACGCTCGCCGCAGTTAAACCTTGCCTCGGTGTCTTTTCCGGCCACGCTCTCCACCTCGAAGCTCCCCTCCCTTCGTCGTGGCCGTCCTCGTCCTCGCTCGACCGCCCGTCGTGCCCCCAGAGCCTGCGCTCCCTGGGGGCGCCCGTGCACTCGAGGTGGCAGCTCTTCGAGACCCCTTCGCAGGGCTCGCCAGTGACCTCTTCTTCCGCGCTGCTCGCCTCCGCGTCCTGCTCCTGGTTCCTGGCTGCCCTCGCTTGCTTCCTCAGTCTCTTGCGAGCTGGATCGGCCGCTCTCCCTGGACCCGCAGGAAGCAAAAAAGGGGTCGCGGGAGGCACGCGGCCCTCTGCGGTCCCACCTCGGCGTCCTCCCCCCCTCCCCTTGAGTTCGACCTTGGTCCCTTGGGTCCTCCTGGCCCGCCGCACCTTTCTCGATCACCGGTGGAAGGACTCCGAGCACACCACGTAGTCCAGCATCCTCGCTGGGTTCCTCGTGCACGTGTAGCTGGCGTCCTCGCGGGTGCGCAGCACCGCGTTGGGCCTCTGGACCCAGCACGACGCGTTCAACTGCTTTCTGCTCTTCGCTCCTGCCTCCTGTGGCCGCCCAAGACCCGCTGTGCCATCTCACTACCGACGCGAGCCTCGCCGTCTTGCTGGAGCTCTCGCCCTCGATGCCGATCGTCGCCGCCATGTAGATGCACGCGACTATGACGGACTGCCCTTGCCAGCGCTAGTGCATGATCACAATATCCTTGACAACTACTGGCCCTGGCTCCCACTTGGCGTCAAGCTCTCTCAAGCCCGCTGTCTGCTCCTCCTTCGCTGCCAAGTGCCCCAGCGAAGTCACCGAGTGACGAGCTCTCGCTGTCATCACTATGCCTCCTGCAAGCTCGCTGCGCTTGCTCTTCTCCGATGGGGTGACCATTGCCTTCCACCTCTTGCCATCGAATCAGTCCGGGATGTCGTTGGTCCTGCATTTGGCAACGTGCGTCTTTGGACAGATCACCCAGTCACCCTTGAGTCTGGCGATCTTCCTCTTTAACATCGGGCCCCATTGCGAGAGGTTCTGCATGAAGATCGTCAGCTCCTTGTCCTCCTCCTCTGTCAGGGGGGTATCTCCTGTCGCACGATTCATGCTACCCTCGCTTCGCTTCATCCTTCGATGCCGCGCCCGTCTTCTCTTTAGCATCAGCCATGGCCTTCTTCTCCAGCTCCACCTTCGCTGAGGTGTCAGCCGCCGTCTCTTCCCCAGGTCGGACTCGCCCCAGCAGGCCTTCGCTTTCCCTTCCGTCCACGCTGCCGACGCTTCCGCCTTAGCTTGGCACTGGTACTGGTGCTCCACCGTCTTGATCTCGCTCGCGTTCGCCCACGAGGCTTGCCCATCGAGGCCTGCCCGAGCTCAGTCTTCCCCGTGAGATCTGCCGCTGCCGCCGCGAGCCCCAGCTTCGCTGCCTCCTTGGCCGACGCTGCGAAGACGGCTTTCCTCCGCTCCAGCTCCTCGTGCTTCCTCCCTGGTGATGCCCTCGATGTTGTCCCTGTCGAAGAGTTTGCCCATGTCCACCTCCAGGTCGCCGTCGCCGAGGAGGGCGCCGATGGGGATAGAGGGGCTAGTGGATGTCCTTCCCTTCCCCTAGTGGTGCTCCTCCTCCCAGCAGGTGTCGAGCCACCTTCTCCTTGACCTCGTCCTGGGCCTCGGCCTCCGCGAGCTCCAGGGACCGCTGACCGCTGCCCGTCGTCCTTCTTGGCCTGCTCAGTTCTTTGGGGGAACGAAGAATGACAGAAACATAAAAACTCGGAGGTCCGCGCGGATTTCTCGGATCCGCGCTGGACCCCCTTGGCGGCGCCTCCGGCGCCACCCCTGGCGCGCTCCGCGCGCCAGGGAGCGGGGTCCAGCGCGGATCCGAGAAATCCGCGCGGACCTCCGAGTTTTTATGTTTCTGTCATTCTTCGTTCCCCGGATTATTCCCTGAACTTTTCCACCCGAGTGAACGCCGTTGTCGGTGCCGCGTCTGCACGTTGAGCTCGGTCTTCTGCTTGGCGTAGAACTGATCGCGTTCGAGGCCCTGGTTGGTTTGACCAGGCGGGCTTCTGCTCCTTCGCAGCGCTGTCGAGCGGGACCTGGAGCTCACTCTTGCTATCCTCTGCCTTCTTGATCGCTTCCCCGAGGAGTTGCGCCACGCTGAGCTCCCCGGGTCCACCTGGGGTAGTTCTTGCTGCTGACCTCAGGGTCCAAGCTGGTGGCGCCGACGTCCTCTTGGTACCCCCGGACTTGCACTTGTGGTCAACTGCTGCCAGCCTGACACTCCGCAGCCAACTGCCGCGCGACTGACAGCAGGCCCTCTCCAAGCGTCGCCGCGGCTGCCCGCTCCCCTCGACTCTCCACGGCCAGCTGCTCCACCCCTTCTTTCTAGGCCTCCTAGATGGGGTCGGAGTAGGTGGGGTCGGAGGATCGCGCCGCATCGCCGATGCATCGACCGTGCGGCTCGATGTGGAGCCCGTGTTTCCCCACGCCGACGTCGCCGATGCCTCGCCAACGTCTCCGATGCATCGCCGACGCATCGCTCGCCAATACATCGGCGATACATTGGCGATGCGGCGCGATCCTTCGACCACATCTGCTCGAACCCCATGTAGGAGGCCTCTATTTTCGTGATCTGCGGATGACGCTTCCGCCCGCAACACTCGCCACTGCCAGCTCCGTCGCCCTGTCCGTTTCCACCGGGCGCCACGGTGGCCCACGAGCACTTGGTGAAGAATGCGCAACCGCTGAGGGACATGCTGCACAGGCTCGTGCTCACTCTGAACTAGGCCTTAGCTGCCTCGATGCGCCCGTTTTGACACGCAACACGTACCGTGCTCAAAACGTCCGTGTTGATACCTTGCGTGTTGGCTCAATGTATTGCCCCACGTTTCGGCGAAAGCATCGCGTCATGCCTGCGTTTCCAGTCTACGTGTTCAGTTCCGTGTCAACGAGCTACGTGTTGCGTGTTGCGTATTGGGGCAGCTGAGCTCTGAACAGATGTGGACACGCTTCGACTCCAGGCGCCCGAGGAGTTCTACCGCTCGACGCGCCCAGGGGGCCCCCGGCCTGGGGGCCCCTCACAGGCCTTGAGCCAACATGGCGACGGAATGATGGTGATGATGCTGCCGATGTTGATGATGATGATGATGATGATGATGATGATGATGATGGTGGTGGTGATGGTGGTGATGGTGATGGTGATGGTGATGATGTTGATGTTGATGTTGATGCTGATGTTGATGTTGATGTTGATGCTGATGTTGGTGCTGACGATGATGCTGATGTTGGTGTTGATGCTGAGGCTGAGGCTGGTGATGATGATGATGATGATGTTGATTGTGATGCTGATGATGATAGTAATATTGATGCGGATGATGCTGCTGTTGATGCTGATTGTACTGGCTCATGATGTTGATGCTGATGATGATGACGATGCCCGTGCTGATGTTGGTGATGAGTTTGCTGTTGATGATGACGGTGATGATTATGATTACGACGATGATGACGAGGATGATGGTGGTGGTAATGAGTATGATGATGATGGTGATGATGAGGATGAGGATGAGGATGCTGATGATGACGATGATGCTGATGATGATGATGGTGGTGGCGGCGGCGGCGGTGATGATGATGATGGTGGTGATGATGATGATGATGATGTTGATGTTGATGTTGATGTTGATGTTAATGATGACGATGATGAGGAGGAGGAGGAGGACGATGATGGTGCTGCTGATGATGATGATGATGATGATGATGATGATGATGATGATGATGATGATGATGATGCTTATTATTATGATGCTGATCGTGGTGGTGGTGGTGATGACGGTGATGATAATGATGCTGAGGAGGAGAAGGAGGAGGAGGAGGAGGAGGAGGAGGAGGAGGAGAAGGAGAGGAGAGGAGGAGAGGAGGAGTACGAGGAGGAAGAGGAGGAGGAGGAGGAAGAGGAGGAGGAAATTGAGGAGGAGATTGAGGAGGAGGAGGAGGAGGAGGAGGAGGAGGAGGAGGAGGAGGGGAGGCGGCGACGACGAGGACATCCTCGGATTTCGCCCAGGGGGCATCTGCCTGGCTGCCCCTGGCCCCATTATGGCCCCCCACGGGGGTGGCCGCGCGACCCGCCGTCCCGAGAGGACGGACACGAGGAGCACCGCGAGCGTGCCGACGACTTCTGCGTCGTGCTCGGCAAAGCCTGGGCGCGCGGTTTCATCGAGAAGACCAGAAAGCTGCCCGAACATGTTTCCGTCGCGGTGCGGCAGAGGCATTCCGCTCGCGCGCTCGAGCAGCTGAGGCAGAGCGTACTAGTTGTACGGCTGCAAGAGTAGGAGACAGGGCAGAGGGCGGCCGCGGAGAAGGGGGGAGGGGGGGAGGGCACTCACAGCACGAATGTCATCGGCATGAGTGGCCTGTACGGCTGGCCGTTGCCGAGACGTCTTGGCAGTGGACGTGGAAGAGCTTCGCGCCCACACCGAAAAAAGCTGCGCGAACATGCGGCCAGGAACTTCTGTTTAGCGTGTCGCGTCGTCGGTTCTGGCCCACCTCGCTGTGGCGCGGCACGCTAACCACCGCAGCACCCCAGGCGCCAACGTGCCGAGCTCTCTCCAACCTCCCACCCCGCGGAGCGTGGCGACACCCTGTCCGCTTGCAGGGCATAGCGTATCGCCGCGGCCGCCGCCGCGACGCGCTAAGCAAGGCGGTGGGCGGATTGTTTTTTGTGTTCGATCACCGGAGCCTTTCCGTCGTCTGGGCCTCTGTTGGCTCAGAGCTGCACTGGGGGTGGGAACTTCCCCATGGGGCGCTCGAGGTCCAAGGTCGGAGGAGGTCTTTCGGCACTCTCGGCTCCTGGAGGCTCGCTTCGTGCCGCGAGACCTGGGACGGAAGGCTGGCCGGGATGGGCCCCCATGGTGGGCCCCTGGAAGGGGTGCAGGGAAGGGGGGCCTTTCGCCGGCCCAAGTCATCCGCGCGGACCGTTGGAAGTTTATGCTGATTCCGGCCTTGGGTCTTCTACCATCGAGATCAAATTTGGCAGCGACGGCGAGGTCATGGAGCTCAAGGCGGATCGTCTCGTTCCGATCAGCAGGACGGAGGCGCGTGCGCGGAAGCACCAGGCCAAGTTGGCTGCCTTGCGACTCGGTGGCGAAGCCAGCCAAGGTCCGTGGAGGTCTCGCCACTCTAAGGAACGGACTGCAGCAAGGAACATAATGCTGTTGCTCACTCTCGTCCTGGTTCTTTACCCTGCTGCTGCGCCTCTCTCTCTCTTCCATGCAGACGCGGGCCAGTCCAAACCCGAGTCGAAACTGTGCTAAGTCTCCGTACCTGTACGCCCAACCTTCGGGTGATAAGGAGGCTGTGGGGGTGAAGACAATTGACGACAACTGCGATGATTGTGATGGTGTCGATGCTGGTGATGCGCTCGCGAGCTGGTGACGATGCATGATGGCGATGCTGGTGACGATGCGTGATGGTGGTTGTGATGGTGACGATGCATGACGACGATGTTGGTGATGAGCCAGGCATCGCAAACGGGCATTGCAAATTGGCAGCACGCAGCAGTAGCAGTGCATTATGCAACCTCAGCTGGCAGAGTCTGGCGCATCGGCGGCAACTAAGCAAGCGCCAACGGCACGACACACTCGCGATGGCGCACCCGCACCGGTGATAGCGTCATCACCGCCATCGCGGGCAAATAA